CTTGTATACCAAAAAAAGCTTTTATAATTGAAATAATTAATATCAGAGTCTTTCAAAGGAACCTTTGATTAATAGCTTAGAACTGTTCAATTCCATCATTAATTTTAGAAGAATTGCCTGATTTCTATGGTTGGGCTTTTGGGGGAAAAAGCAATCATAAATAACAACATATACTGAAATTGGAATTGGCTGTGTTTGTACAAAAGCTGATTTAGTCTGTAGGATCATAAAAGGTAAAAAAAAAGACTGGCTTGTTTAGTAATAAAACAATTCTTCACTAATTCAAATATAAAACTTGATCCTTGTGCACATAACCAGTTCTTGGTATGTAATGACTCCTGAAATATTGATATGCCAAAAAAACAACCTGTCATGGTCATTATTTATTTTGAAAACATTAAAATGTGGGCATGTTCTCAAGGAACAGACAATATAGATTGTATTTAAATTGCCTCTCAAGTGAAGAATTATTTTGATGATTTTTATTGATAATCGCAGAGCGCATTTAAATAATTATCTTGTAATATTTTGTATATTTTTCTTTGTTTTAATCCTCTGATTATTCCAAGAGCAATTCCGACAGAATCAGATCAAGAGAAATAAAATTCAATCTGTGAAAATAAATAATCTGCTTTTGTCATAGCTGGGCTCTCAAATCTAATATTTCTACTGTGATTTATTTTCCTCTTCCATTTTGAAGAGAAATATACTTACCATTGAATGAAAATGTGTTTTTCTATTAAATATTCCCAATAGAACCAATTTCAGGATGTGAATTACTTTTTAACTATTGTTACTAGATATTATGTTGAAGAAGGGAAAACAACTTTTGAAATAAATAAATTTCATGCAAATGGAAAAAGTATTAGCTTTAAATTGGAATATATGACATTAGTCTTCAATTTTAGTATTGAAATATATGACATTAGTATTTAGTTTTAGTATTGGAATATATGACATTAGTATTCAGTATTGGTAAATTATGCTGTTTCCTTTATCAACAACAGTCAATTGTATTTCTACTACATCATAATAATAATCCAATATATAGACATGAGCAATTGCTTATAATGAATATTGTCAAGGGCTACACACACATTTTGTGTGTGTGTAATGTGGGAGAGAGAAAGAAACATGCACACATGTTGGATTCACAGTGAATAGTTATATAGTTTTATTTATCAGCATCAGATTTTACTTCTATTACATCCCCTGAAGAGTCCACTATATTCAGATTGGTAATTCAGCTATCTCTATGTAGTCATTTGTGTTGACTTTAAAAAAAGACTTAAATAAACATGCACACACACCTCCTTCACACCCCTCTACCCTTCTTTCTCTTTGTGTGTGTGTGTATATATATATATATATATATATATATATATATATATATATAGGGGCAGCAGATCATTATTTAAATTATGTGGTACATTTAGAAAATAAAATACTTTATGACACTAATAAACCCCCTATATAAGATATGTAAGATACATAGATGACATTTTTGTTTTAGCTAAAAATATTGATCAAATTACGCAACTTACAAAGAAATTTGAAAGTCACTCTGTCCTCAAATTTCCATTAGAACTTAATATTAATAATAAAATTCCATTCCTTGATGTACTTATTGATTCCACCATATATAAATTTACTACTTCTCTATGTAGAAAACTCACTTGCATTAACTTGTGTCTTCTTAATTATAACAGTGAATGCCCCCAACGACATAAGTTAGCTGTTATAACAAACTTAATCCAATGTACACAAATGATATCTTCTTCTAAAACCATATTCTATAAAGAATTACATAACATCAAACAAACACTCATTAATAATGGATTCTTTAATTCTGTCATTGATCAACAAATGTATCTCAGTAAACTTAATAATACCACTAACAAAATTGATAATATTAATAATAATTGTAACCACAATAGTGTACGTCAAAATAAATATAATACTATTAACATACTATTATAACTAAATGCATAATGATTACAAACAAGATGAAACAACACTCCAAAAGATAATAGGTAGAAATATTAAACCCATTAATAATAATAAACAAGTTAAGCTCATCATATAAAAGATTTACAACAACTGAACTCATAGTCTTCAATAACCCTACAACTGCATAGGTAAATCCTCTACAAAAAAAACAATGTAGTGTATCAGTTTACATGACTGCTCAGAGATTGTATCTCTGATATTAATAATAAACCCACTACATACATTGGTTTTATTACAACCACATTTTCCTGTAGATTTACCTGTCACCTTTCTGATCTTAGTTCCATTAAACAACATTTCTTTGAAAACCATGTCTATGTATATAATATTAGACAGATATTAGTTGATAACACAATAATACTCATGCATACACACAGTAAAAAGAACCTTAAAATATTGGAGGCCATCTACATTAAAACAAAGCAACCTACACTCAAGAAAATTACATTTGAAACTAGTCACAACATATTACAATGCATTTAAACATATGGGTCTGTTGATAACATTTCTCTCATATGGTCATGTATGACGTCATAGAACCACATTACGAATTTGCAATCTGCGTCTGCTATTCCATGACCATTATCTTTGCACACCATGCTTCTATGTAAACAAAACAGTATGTCATATTTGATGGTGAACATCTCTGTTGTAATGTCCATATAACCACTCTGAAGATGGCTCATGTGAGCCAGAAGCTTAGATCAAAGAGCAATATATTAAAGAAATGTCCAAATGTTGAACAGTTTTTGTCTTTATTTTCACTTGAAACTAAAGCCATTATATGACACTTGGAAAGGCTCATGATAAAACAACAATATATGTTTGAATATATATATATATATATATATATATAAAAGAGAGAGAGAGAGAGAGAGAGAGAGATATCATCTAATCTGTGAAATTCAAAGTATTAGCAATATGTTAATCACATTGTCCACAGGATATTTAGAAAACATTTTGTTATACAATGAACATTCTTTATGCTGTACGTCATTGAAATTTATGAATAAAACACTAAATGTTTCCATGTAGGGAAACTCCTAATATTAACATTACTGATATACTTTAATAATGGAGAAAAAACAATCATTGTTTAAACTTTTAAATAATGTTTTACAAATCTGTAATCACCATAAACAGGCATTGTACATTTCAAAAACTTTTCTCAGGAAAAATATCTTGATTCTTCTGACTTACTATTCCTCTCTTTTCAGCAATTACTTTAACCCTTATATTTTGCATTGTCCTGTATGTGGAAAAACAAAATTGTATAGTTAAACACTGATTCTCTCTAATATTATCCAACTTTTTAAGTTTGGCATTGGGCCTTATTTGCCTTTGAATAACATAGTTTTTTTTTGTGTTGTTTACTAACAGAATCAGCAGCAAGTAGTAAGGTAACTTTGGAAAGTAGTCAATGTGTTTTGGTAAAATATAAGAAGTATTAAGTAAGTATAAGTACTTACTTAAATAGGTAAGTATGAATATGTGTACTAATATATAGTCTACTGGAAATGCTTCAGTGTATCTCGCTTTTAGGTTTGTTATGTTAAGAAAGAGTGTAGCCACTATGTCCCATACCTCTTATTTGTATACATAACCAGAAAATTTTATCCATATTATTTTCAAAACATGAGAATGCTTTGTGTGAGAATCATGGCTTGGATAGTCTTTTAACAACTGTTATATAAGTTCTTGGTAACAAGTGCTATTTAATTGTATTGACTTTTGTAATTCTACAAAAGTAGAATTTATTTAATAATTAAGTTTTACTTAAGAATAATAGTGTTAAAAGTGTATAAAGAAATTCATCTGAATTCTAAGACAGGGGCATAATGAAAATTCTGTTTATATATGCACATGTTGTTATAATCTATACATATTGTATTTTTTGTCGTGTAAGATCAGCTGTTTCCTTACAAGGAAACCTTTGGCATTCATTGACACAGCAATCAGTACTACTTTAAGTTAAGATTTATAAAATCTTTCGCTTAAAACAATTTTTCAGTAAAATAGGGTTCTCAAGTCCAGTAGCTGTTCTCTTTTTTCCAGTATTAATGTCAGTTTCCTTCCTAACCTTTTGTTTAAAGTTATGTTGAACATCATCTTGATTATGTCATTATTTTCTCTTTGAGTTACATTTTAGTTTTTGCTGCTGTTGAAAGTAACTCTTAAAAGAAATTAAAACATTATATAAAATCCAATGTATCTGTGCTATGAATGGGAAGTTAATCTCTAAAGGCTTACACTATAAAACCAAGTCATTCCAGATGAGATGCAGTGGACAAAATAAAAAAGAAATGCCTTTTTAAAACATTCACTAATCTTGTAAATATTTGGTATATGTGAGTTTATTTTGTACTCTACTGTAGGTAATAAAACTGTTTTCTTATTTAGGTTAGAAACAAATAAAAGTGTACTAAACTGTTATGTAATATCAAACCTCCTATATAACAGAGAATGCTGTTCAATCTCCTCACAAATGAAGAAGAGACTTGAAGCAACAGAAATATGGTTCTACAAAAGGATTCTGAGAATACCATGGACCGAACATGTGAGCAACAACTAAGTTTTAGAGAAAATGGAAACAAAAAGGACACTTATCCTTAACAGCAGGAAGATATTGAAATTTCAAGGGTATATAATGAGGAAAGAGAGTCTGGAAAATGTGATATTCACAGGACAAATTTGAAGGCAAGAGGGATAGAGGAAAACAATGCATAACATACCTATCAAGCTTGAGTAAATGGATAGCAGAACAAGGTTTCAGAGAGATAACAAAAAGACAAAATTTATTAAGAGCTACAAAGTACAGGAAATTGTGGAGAGCCATGATTGCCAATGTCCTGAAGGAACATGGTACATAGAAGAAGTACATCACATACAATTTAAGAATCTGATAATTGTCATGAATTTGAAAGAATATTTCACCAACAGTCCCCGTCTTGAAAAAAATGTTGGTAAATCATTAATCAAATCTCAGGTTGATGCTGACTATAAGTGATGAATCATTGGCTTCCAAGATTTAAAAAAAAAATCTTGTAAAATGTTGTATTGAACAAATTCTAAATACTCATCAATAAGAATTGGACATTGAACATTGCAGTTACTAATTCATGGGGTTAACTTCTAAATAATTCCCTTTTTTCTTCATGTTTATTTTACTTCTTGGATGCATATATACATATATTGGGTGTTGAAAAATTCTCAGCTTGATTTAATTCCCAAAATCTAATCAATCATCAGAATTTTCTAGTGAATATCTTTTTGATTGGGTTGAGAATTTTTTTATCACTACCTTGTATTATTGTGTCACATTGTTTCAGAATCATTCTCATATTTTACAGATTTTTTATTTTTCTTTGTTGTTTTTATTTTGTTGCAATAATGACACATATATTGCAATGCAGTGTGTTTAGTTGTTTGCTTGTTGAATGCAACTAACAAGAAAGTTTAAGCTTTATTATTTTGTACCACAATGAAAACTGAGTTTTATTTTGGTATTCAAAGCATTTTTTTCTTTACTTTTTATGTCTCCTTTTTTGGGGTCTATTCAGGACATTGAGATTTGTGATCAGACATAGACAGATAAGCAAATTACCTTCAATACTTCTCTTCTTTCAATCTATCTTTCTTTCTTGAACCATCTTTTCTATCTGTACTATATTCTCTCTTACCACTTACACACTACTCTCCCTCTCTCTCACCACTTACACACTACTCTCCCTCTCTCACCACTTTTTTTCTCCCTCTCTCTCACCACTTTTCTCTCCCTCTCTCTCACCACTTGCACACTACTCTCCCTCTCTCTCACCACTTGCACACTACTCTCCCTCTCTCTCACCACTTGCACACTACTCTCCCTCTCTCTCACCACTTGCACACTACTCTCTATTTCTCTTACTATTTGCATACTACTCTTTCTCTTACCACTTTCACACTACTCTCTCTTTCTTTTACCACTTTCACACTACTCTCTCTTTCTTTTACCACTTTCACACTACTCTCTTTCTTTTACCACTTTCACACTACTCTCTCTTTCTTTTACCACTTTCACACTACTCTCTCTTTCTTTTACCACTTTCACACTACTCTCTCTTTCTTTTACCACTTTCACACTACTCTCTCTCTCTCTCTCTCTGTTACCACTTTCACACTACTCTCTCTCTCTCTCTCTCTGTTACCACTTTCACACTACTCTCTCTCTCTCTCTGTTACCACTTACACACTACTCTCTCTCTCTCTGTTACCACTTACCCACTACTCTCTCTCTGTTACCACTTTCATGCTACTCTCTCTCTCTCACACTACTCTTTCTCGTACCATTACACACTACTCTTCCTCTCTCTCAATTAGCACTCATTCACTACTCTTTATCTCTCTTACTACTTGCACATTGCTCTCACTCTTTGACCACTTACACATTATTTTCTCTATTACTGTTTACACTCTAGACTCTCAGCACTACATACTATTTACTCTCTATGACTGTTTACTATCTTCTCTCTCCCTCTACTATCATTGCTTACTATTTTCTCTCTCTCTCTATGGCTATTCAGTAGTTTTCTCTCTCTTTCATCTACGATGTTTACTATTTTCTCTCTTTCTACTAAGACCGTTTACTATTCTCTCTCTCTGCTATGACCACTTACTATTTTCTCTGTCTCCTATGACTGCTTACTATTCCCTCTCTCTCTCTACTATGACTGCTTTCTATTCTTTCTTTCCTATGACCACTTACTGTTTTCTCTCTCCTATGACCACTTACTATTTTCTCCCCCCCCCCCATGACTACTATTTTCTCTCTCTCTCTACTATGGCCACTTACTATTTTCTTTGTCTCTATGATCACTTACTATTCTCCACTCTCTCTATGGTCAATTACTATTCTCTCTCTATGACCATTGCACACTATTTTCTCTCTGAATGACCATTGCACACACTCTATCTCTCTCTATTACTATTGCACACTATTCTCTCTCTCTCTCTATCTTCATTCCTCCTTTCCTGCTCTTGCAAGCCTTCCAGTATTCTCTGTGTACCTTTTTATCTTCTTTCTGTCACTGTAAAGATCTTCACAAATTTTCTCTCTCTTCTGCATTTCTGTACAATTTCTCCATCTTCTTTTTTGCACTCTTCCCACATCCCTTCATCTATTAATGGCCTGTGCTTTCTTAATCCTCAAGAGATTGGCTTTGTCCTGTAGTATTTTTTGCCACAAACAAGACATACATTTTTCTAACCCTCCCCCCCCTCTGCACACACGCTCCTCCAATTGTCATCAAAATAAATGTTGTGTCCATTCATCTACAAAGACAGAAGTAAGTTTAGGGTGTATAAGCAAAGAGACATTTATTGATGTGTGCTTAAAGAGCTTTCTCTCACTGTTGTTGCAAATGCCAACTGCTGATCAATACATTGTGTTCTCTGACTTCCATATCTAGTTTATACAAGAGTTTACTGCTTCTGTGACATAAGAAAAAAAAAGATTATTATTTCTGCTTGTAATATTCTCTTTCAGATTTGTTTCTTATTGCACCAAAGTGAATTGACCAATCTACATTTCTCACATTTCATTGCTTGCTTATTCTGAATTTAGGTAACTAATATTATTTGTGTAGATATTTACAAAGAAATAAAAACCTTTCATTTCTTTTAACAAAAGTATTTCAGCTAAATGAAAGATATCTTCATAATAATGTTGGTTCCCAAATATAAATAAACTGGTGCAAGTGAAACCCTTTTGCTGTAAAATATGATTCTCTTGCTAAACATCTTTGAAACTTGTTTAAAAAAATAGATACCAAAAGAAAAATATATGCTAGTGATTTTAAAAAGGTTAGTGCCAGGGAAAGTTTTGATTTGGGAAATATGAAAATGAAAAGTACTTCTTATTTGATATATTATTTAATCTCAGCAACTGTTGAAGACATTTCTTGTTCTAAACCTTAAGAGTATATTTTAAAATATTGATTTGGAAAATGGACATTTTCTGGAAGGTAAATAACTCAGAAAAAAATCAAAAGTTATAAAGCAAATTTTTGTATGAACAAGAAAGAATCTTTTTAAGTGCCTTTCATTTTATAGAAAATGAAATATGGTGCAACTTACAAGGTCTTTTTTTTAATAGCCTTTCTGGTTTCCATGTGATTAATTGATGTTCACAAATATTTCTGACAAGTTTCTTTCCAGTTGTTTGGAAGTCATTGTCTGTAATCCCTGTCTTTAAGAACTATAAGGTGAACCTTCTAACCCCTCTAACTACTGCCCTATCAGTCACCTACCACTTTTCAGCAAAGTCTTTGAGGCTTTAATCAATAATGACGTAGTTAAGCATCTTACCTCTCACAACCTACTCTCTGACAAACAATATGTATTTGCAAATCTACCATTCATCCATGCATTGAATACTATTGCCATATCTGGACTGGTGCTCCTGCTATTCATCTTCAGGTTCTTGACAAAATCCAAAGAAGAATCTGCAGTGTAATTAATCCTAACTTTGCATCCTGACTTCAGTCACTTTCTCACCTACATGATGTGGTTTCCCCTCTGTCTTTTCTACAAATATTTTCATGGTAACTGCTCTGATGAGCTTTCTCCCTGGTTCCCTGATTACATGAATTTAAGTGTGCTACTAGATTAGCATCTAGGTTCCATCCTTTTATTGTTGAAATAGTTAAATGTAATCGCCACTTCTACTCCAACAGTTTCTTTTCTCACACTTCCTGACAATGGAAATTCCTCCCTCTTATTTGCTTCCCTGATAACTACAATCTTCAAAAATTTAAATGTAACATCAATCACCATCTTCTGTTGTCTTGAAACCCATTCATCTTTTATCCTTTCCTCAATCCCCACTATACTCAGTCTTTCCTCATACTTTCACTCCTTTTAACTTCCTGCATGCTAATGGCACTCCCACCTTGCTTGGGGTGAAATGCTTTAAAAAAAGTCTTCTGAAATTTCACTCTAGTTGTGTTGTGGTAAAATATTGAAATTTACTAGTGATCCTATACCTTACTATTCAGGCTAGTATATTCATCATTTTATATTTACAATATTTTGACTATTGTGCTTTCCAGCTTTCTTCAGGTGCCTGTCATACAGGAGTAGAGGCAGCTATTGATTCAACTTCAAGTCAGTTGAAAACATGAGGTCAAGAAGACACAGTGTGTTACTCTCCAGGAGTCTAGCATCAGCCATGCTGATGGTGGCCTGTCATACAGTAAATCTCTTAAAATTTTGAAAAAACTTTTCAATTCATGAGGAATTTTTTCTTTCTGCTTTCCTTGTTTAGGTGATATTTATAAGTTTTAATTTTCTCTTGTCTATATGCCTTTATGTCATTTGTCTATTTCTGTCACAAAACCAGAGTATATGACTTTTCTATACCACCCAGTTACTGAACTCACAACTGAAAAGGAACGTTATATGCTTTGACCAATACTTTGATGTACTAGGGCCAGATGCCTTCTGTACAAACTAGTAGTGTAATAATCACCAAAATTAACATATATATGTTTGTCTGAAGAGAAAGGTATATAATAATAACAAATCCATATCTAAAACATTGATAGACAAGCACACACACATTAATACTTTCATCCCAAGTAAGGCAATAAATCTACTAGGATGCAAGTTACTGAGATGGAAAGAAACAGAGATGACAATAAAAGATGAAGAATCAAAGTGTCTGAAAATGATGACTGACATTGCATTTAACATTTTGAAAATCATACTTGACTGGAAAGCGACAATCTAGAAGAAAGTTCCACAAGTGAGAAGAAACTCAAGTGCAAAAGAAGAAACAATTAGCATAGAACTTATGGTTACAACTAGAAATTTCACCAGTGAAATTATGAGACCTAGCTGCCAATCTAGTACTGCACTTATGTTTGTGAAGTCGAAGTATCAAAGAAGAAATTTCCATAAAAATATTTATAGAAGAAGTAGAGGGAAGCTACATTATAGCACTAGGAAAGGTACTTGTTGTAGTAAAGAAAAGACTGTCAACTGATAGTAGCAACTGCAATAGATTTCTTCTGTTTCTCGGCCGCAACCCTTGTAACCAAATCGCAGTTCAAATGATAGTCCGATGTAACAGTCCAACACACAACCTAGAAATGACAAAATGGGGTCACACATCCAACTTTCACTTCTCACCAACACCTATGCGTGTTCGTTCCACCAAGCTCAAAAAATCATCTCCTTTTATAAGCGAAAAACGATGACTTCTGTTCACCGAGAGAATTTTTTTGATTGGTCACGCCATTCAGGGGAGGGAAGAACATTAGCATAGCTCCTAGTCATTGATGTAGATTTTTGCTAACTACTTTTTGGTAATTTTTCTTCGGCAGATCGCACAAAAACACAAACTTTTTTCCAGGGTAACTGATTATCTCTTTCACTACAGTACTGAAACTGAGAACCAATAATGTTGTCAATTCTTTGGATTTTGTTGAGAATTTCTAGGCATATAGCAGAAGCACCAGACCAAATGTGATGACAATATTCAATACACAGACAAATAGGAAACTTATAAATGTGTAAGATAGATTCTGGCAGGATATTGAGGAAAGGTTTCATGTTTATTTAAAAATGTTTTTGTCATTGGTAAAAATTGTTAAGATTGACTTTATTAGATTCAATTGCATCTAAAATCTTCCTTTAGCCATTAAATTGCAGATGACAGGAATTTTAGACATTAGTTTTATGGCTCAAGTGAAAATGATGAAAATTTCCCTCAGTTACATCTATATAATTCAAGTTGAATAACAATATTTTCCGTTTATTAAAGTTATTACATCCTTTACAAAATGGCAACTGAGCTGCTCCTGCCACAGTTAATGGGTTAAGAAATCATGTTCATTGCTATTGATTTAGCTTAAAATAGAAGAAAATCAAATGTTGAAGTAGGTTTGAGTTGCACTATTTTTACAATTGGAAAGAGTCTACCTCCTTTGAAATCAGCACAAAAATTCTGGTTTTTACCTAGTCTTAAACACTGATCTTGGTAATAAATATATAATTATTTCAGTCATAAATTAGGCAACAAATAACAATTTTCTTTCAATGTTTGCAAATTAATAGTCAATTTAGCATTTAAAATTTGAAAGTGCTGTTTTTATACTATTGTTCACCTAATATAAGGCCCAAGAGCCACTCAAGATAGAAGGTTACTGAATGAGGTTGTTTAAGTGCACAAAGAGAAGTAAGAAGTGCATATTATGATATGGAAGATAGATAACAGTTGATCCTTGTCATATAGGAATAAAGTGTTGCTGCCAACACTGAAGTTTGAACACAGATCACCAAAGAGCAAACATAGGCAATCTCATTTTGAATAAGCTGATCATGTGATGGTAAAGGAAATGTATATATGGGAATTACTGCGGCATCTAAGTGATCACTATTCAGTGGTTACTTTTTTAGCGCGTATTATCGAGCAAGTACTATTAGTGCAAGTGTTATTTGAAGGTGTCTGACACCAGTATTGTTCAATAATGTAACTATAGTTGTATCTGGAATTACAAAGTCTTTACTACAATGAGTATTCATTGACATTACAAAAGTGGCAATGAGTGTTTGTTGACATCACAAAAATCCTATACTTGGAAAGATTAAGGTCTTAGTGATTGAGGAAGCATCCTCACAGGAGTCTGTTTCACAAAATATCAGTTCTTGGGAAGAACCTATCTAAGTGGAATTTCCTTCTTACCAATTGAATACATTAAACAGTGAAAGGCAATTGACATTGGTTATTATTGTTAATATTATCTACAAAAATAAAATATTGATGCAAGAAAAATTACTTGTACTCAAAAGAACATAGTAGTACATAATTTATATGCCAAAAGAAAACATTCATTAAAAAATAAACATTGTTAAAAAGTAATTTTAGTTGTCTATTAATGGCACACACTATAA